GAAGATAGGTGCAGGGGTTCTGGCGCCCTGCACCTCTGGCTGCTGACAGGCAAAACTCGTGACATGAGTGCTTGTGGGACTGTGTCTGTCTTGGGGCATAGATGGGGTGAAAATGGCAGGTCTGCTAGGCCTTGCTGTGGCCACGAAGCCTACCAGCTGTCAAGGAGATCAGTGCAGGGATTCTGGATTCTGGGGCCTTACACCTCTAGCTGCTGAGAGGCAAAATTTGCTGACAGTCAAAACTCGTGACATGGGTGGGTGACACTATGTGTGTGTTAAGGTGCACCTTCATTCAACTGACACCAAGGCAGAAAGCAGGCCAGTTCAAACAATGCTGCCTTTTATGCAGTTTTTCCATCCCACCCCCAGAGCACTGGGATTGTAGGGGACCTTAGGCCAGGATGACAGTCACTGGCCAGCTACACAGTCAATAATGAGAGCACTCCTTCCCCCCACTTCCTCCTCCCTCTCCTTACTTTAGTTTCTGTTTCCCTGCAGGCAAACCCAGTCTCTTCAAGCAGCAGCACCTAAGTAGGCCCACGTATAGCTTGAGTATGCGGGTGGGAGAAAAACTCTGGTAAGTGCTTTGAAATAAAACTAAGCCAGAGGAACTGGTAAATAGGGAGTAGGAAAACCAAGATTGGGTACTGCTTTAGGATTAAGTAGGCAGATCTTTTGGTCTACTACTTCATTTACTACCATTTTCAGCAATGCCTGAAGCTGAATGCTTCTTTCTCTTATGCTGCCTTAGTAGACCCAAAAGGGAAAGTTGGGCATGGGACATGGGAGAGACTGGTTCTAGTCTATGTTCCTAACTTCTCCAATAGTTTTTTCCACAATAGAAACTTTTGTTGTTCCAAGGACCTGAGCACCTCTTTTGATCAGTTCCATTGCATGGGTGAACTTGTAATCTGGGCTTTGATCTCTCCCTTGCTCTTTACACAAAAAAGCTCAATATGAAAAAACAATAGCTTGTGCAAATATAGTGGGTTTCAAATTAATATATTTGCTAATTCTATACTATATGTAAGACCTTGCTAAATATGCAGACTAGTATCTTTGGCAGGGCTCATTAACAGGCTTTCAAATTATTTAAAAGGATATGATCCAATTCCTGTACCTTCAAGTGTTAGAGTAATAAAGAAGGCATCATCGTGGCCAAGGAGCATGAATGGTCCAAGTAACCACAACCAATGAAGCTCAAAAGATCTTTGGGTTACAAAAAAGGCTAGGAATTGAGTCATGAAGTCTTGTAAGGAGAAATCCTAGAAATAACTCAGGCTAAGCTTTATGCCTGTTAAAAGTTAAGGGAATCTCCAAAGGGAAAAGTGGCAAGTTTGGGACATTAAGGGCCAAACTCTACTCCACACATTAGGTCTCTGAGTGGACGTAGGGTTCTATGTAGAATTCTATTATATCCTGTCCAAGTTCTTTAAAATCCATTAAGACATATACTTTTGTAACAACCACCATCTTACGTTTAATACTGAGTCACAAAAAAAAGGGCCAGAAGGAAGAGGACCTACCTATCTTTTGCATTAACCACATTTCAGGGAGTTGAGCAGGGTAGAATATGGATGTACATACAGTTGGAGCCATTTCAAAAGCAGAACATTTCAAAAGGGCAGCATCTGTTATGCTCTAAGTGTTACGCAGGGATAAGCCAGATATTATAGAAACAGAGTGGAACCACTCTAACATGGGGCAAAACACTATTAAAGTTGGACTGATTTTGTTACGTTTGTATTATTCCTGGCTTGTCTATATGTAGCAATTAGAAAGTAACAGCTGCTGCCCTTTTGATCCAGCTCCAAATGTACATGTGTTCATACCCAGAAATGCACTTTGGCACCAAGTCCACTTACAAGCCTAATAGGTGAAACAGAATCTGGCCTTAACTCTGTTAACATGCTTACATGTGTTGCAATAGATTGGAGCAGTTGTAGCTGTGATAGTTCAGGAAATATGCAAGAATTAAGTGTGTGTGTGGGGGGGAGGGGTTGGGGGGGCAATATATTTTATTAGAGAAAACAAATGTATAGTTGGGAGAGATATCAGGAGGCATACAGTTGGCCCAATAAAAGATACCTTCACAAAAAAACCCTTGCTTCTCACATGTGTGTTGTTACAGAATACTTTACCTGACATAAAGCAACATGCTAAATAATGCCCTGTGGGTTTTTCTGTTGCTGATTACAATTCAACTTGCAGGTGTGTGTTTGGGTATTCCACTGCAAATTCTACAACTATTTAGGTTTCTATTTTATTCAAAGACAATGCATCATAGAATGTAAAATTGTAATAAGTTTCTCCCCTCAGAAATCTGGCATAGCTGACAGTAATAAATCATTCAGCTGTTCATTCAGTCATTCACTTTGTAAGTTCTGTTGAGTGTCATGTATCTTCAAATTGCAGTATATATATACACACACATAATACAGAAACTATAACAAAGTTTAAACAGAAAAATCACAGAGGAGGTGTTCTACATGCTAATGCACGATAATAGTGCTAAAAGCTTATTTGCAGAAAGGAATGCCACTTGATTCCAACCTAAAAATAAATGCCACTGGTAAATAGCTTTAGTTGAGATGCCAAGGAAGCCATTAAATCATTTTGTTATAGATTTTCAGATGTTATTTTCATACAGCAAAAGGAATGAAAAGTATATATAACGAACTTGGACAAATTCAATACTTAGCTGATCCTGTATAATTCCTATTTCCTCCGATGGTGTTGTGTGCATTAAAGAGCAGGAAAGTTCTAACTTAAAAGATTTAAATTAAGATGAAACAATTCCTGTCAAGATAAAGTTTGATATTTTGCTTTGGAACTTAAGCTTCTGAGGTTCTAAGCCTATTAAGCACCAAGTGACAAGCTATTCCATTAAATAAGATGGTGGCAGAACACAGCTTTATCACTTCTGAGGGCTGCCAAAACAGTTATATCAGCACCAAACTGAAGTAAGGATTGGGGAGATTTCTCTTGGCTGTTAAAGTTTTCTGGACATTGCTAAAGTCAAGGTGTCAAATTCATTTGACAAATACATCTAAATCCCATCTTAATTATAGTCTGTGGGCTGGATTATCATTTTAAGACTACACAGCTAGAGGTGTATGGAAGACTTCCAGTAGACAGATTTCACCCCTCACTGAATATTCAAGTTGTTTTCAGATAAACCACTCAGCTTCTACTTTTACTCTTTTGTCTGAAGCAGAGACAGGAATGCTCTTCAAGTAAATTTGAAAAAAAAATTAAAATACCTCAAAAAAGTCATATAAACTATGTTTGTATAAATCACAGTATGAACATACACACTGGGCACATTTACACATTCATTAATGAGCCTTAGATACTGTGCATTTACTACTTGCTTAATAAAGTTCTAACTAAATGCTTAGAAACTAGAGTTACTAAGCAGTAGCACCAGCACATGGTTACTGTCTTTTGTGGTGCTTACTACACTTTAGCCTGGTAACACTGTGCAGTAGTGTTAGGGTGACAGTATTTGGATCTTGGGGAACACTGAATTTGAAGCTGAATACAAGGCTATAGCCTGTGGCCTAGCAACGATGCTAATCACAAGGCAGAATGATATATTAAAAGTAACGTTGCAAGATGCTTAGGCAAGCATTTTCCTAATAATGTTGTAGTATGTAGGACATATGACTCATTGTGTAAAGAAAACAGGATGCAGCCCACCAGCTATCATCAGAAAATAAAGCAGAAGTAAGACCTTGAAGATAAAGGAGTCAGCAAGAAACGGCAAGTGACCAAAAGAAGCGGAAGTCAACATCTTAGGTATGCACTCATAGCAAAAAGGCATGTAAATGAGTGAAATGCATAGGTAATCCCATGCTAATGAAACAAACAGTAAACAGAGGCGGAGCTTGAGCTAGGAGGGAATATGGGTGGAACAAAGGAGGGACAAAGGTGGAGTAAATGTTAATGAGTATGAACCAAGGTGTATAAATGTAGAAAGAATTAATGTTTGTGGTGGCTCCCTGGTTTGTTGGAGATAGTCCAAAGCTGTCTCCATTTTGAATAAAGCTGTTGCGAGCAATGTGTGCTGGTGTTTGCTCTCTGAGCAATTGAATCATTGTCTTCCTAGTTGTTGGGTGCCTCATGGAGTTGGGGTCTAACAGTAGGCTATTAGCTTTATTTTTAACCATCATGTTACTACGCAGTGTTACTAGGCTAATGCTCAGTATCTTGTGTATATATGCCCACTAGGTACCTAGCAGGATAATATCATGGGCTTGCTTAACTTTCCTGACCTTCTTTCTTCATACTTCTCACTAAAACTTTGCTTTTGCCATATTAAGAATCCTACCAGGTACAGTAAATGCTGGATCCAGTAAATTAAGCCATGCTTGTCTTTTTAAATATCACTTACCACATTTGGATCAGGTTTGTAATTATATTTCTGCAGGAGGGTAATGTTAATTGAGATTTGCCATCTCCGATCTCAAGGGTGTTCACAATGACAAAATTTTTTATTGACAAAATACATATCCAATTGGAAACTACTAAACAGCTGAATAATATAAGAAAAAATAGCTTAAGCATAATGATACCATCTATTTCTGAGTTATGAGGTAAATTTATTACCATGCTATTTGCCATAAACTCAGCTAATCAGTGATGATTGAGCCAAGAAACACATCTCCAAATGATACTACAATTTATCCTCCCAGTTATAGGTTACATGATTTTATAGATCATCTCAACACGGACTTTAAATATTTACTCCCAGTTAAATTGCAATTATAGCATCAAACAAAAATGCTGATGCTTATAAAAATATAACTATGTAGTACTTCATGAGGCATCATACCAAGAATGCTAAAGAAAAAACTCATGAGTGTCAAACACCAAAGCAAAATTTGGCTTTCAGTAACTGTTGAGGAAAGCCTGAACAACCTGACAGAAATAAAAAGCAAACCAGTGACTTTATACATGCTTTATATACAGTGCTCTGTGCAGAAACAAGTACTTACAGCTAGAGAATATCAACGGGCAAGAATGTTCATCCATTGGGAAATTATGTAGCTGCAGCTGGCATTCTGCATTGATGGTAAGCCTGTGGAAAAAAAATTAGATAGCTGTCACTATATATCAACACATTGAAAAGCTAAAGGAGAAAGGTTGGGTAACCTTAGATAAGAGTTCAGGGTACAACTGGGAAAATTTTAAGTGTGGCCATAGAATAAAGGTTTTTATAGATAATTTCCTCCAGATCATGTGCCTTTAATGAACACAGGCTAAAAACAGCTATTTGGAAAAAATATGCTAAGAAATGTGAGGCGGGG